CTTTAAAATTAAAATTATGAAATAATCTGATTCATTTAATTAATTTGCTAATTTGTATGGAAAAAAATAAAATAATTTATTTTATTCAATATAAAAAAAATTATTTAGTTTCGGTTCTTCGGTTCTTGGTCTAGACCCGAGACCCGACCCAAACCCATCGGTTCTCGATTCGGGTATTTAATTTATGAAAAACCGCTCGATTCAGTTCGGTTCGGTTCGGTTCGGTTCAGAACTTTTGGACACCCCTATATATATATGAAGAAAAGTTTTTATGAAATTATGTATATAATGTGAAAATGTTGATTGCTTTTATTTTTCCATTTCAAAGTTGGTATGTTTTTCATTTCTCAAGTAAGGGAAAGAATTTTCGATTGGGTCCTTAAATAACATAACTTGAAATTACTTCTCTGAAAACATTATAAAAAAACATATTAGTCTAATATTGAAACTTCTATAAGAAATGTATTTGCTAATTCTGACATTATATAATACTTTCCCATCACACAAAATTAGCTTTAAAACTTCAATATGATTGTTCTTATTGCTGTAGAGATGGAACATTTTCAAAGTATGGTTACTTTTATAATCCACTCTTCTTCAAATGCATTTAGTTATCTTATAAAGATATAATCACAATCTTTGTTTGGTGACATCAATCCTACAAATATGAAAATAAATCTGAGATACGACAACAAAAATATAAATTAACAATTAACAAAACAGAAAACGTTAATATTTTTCAAATTAAACAAACTACTTGACTTATTTTGTTAATGTATTGATGAATCAGACGTCGTTTCTATTAGTATTTTTGATAATGATGTATTTATCTTTGATGTTTCTAGTATACAAAATAAGAAGTCATTGATATATTAGTTTAATAATTTATTTATCAATATTAAAAAAGTATATAGAAAATATAGTACATATAATACAATTATAATATCATACAATACGTCTTTATCAAGAACGTGACTATGCTCAAATACCAATATGATGCAGTGACATATGTTAATTATAATTAACACTTCAACATTTGTTTAATACCGAAAATTGGGTAAATATGAAAAAAAAAAATCTCAAATGATTTTATTTAAAATAAAAATTAGCTAAAGACAAATATAAAGTGACTGTTGTTCACGTTTCGACAAAATCATAATTGGCAAAGTTCAATATTAAAAATATAAATCATCAAACCAAATATGAATCACATTGGTGAAAAGAGATTTAGCATATAGACGTTTGTCAAAGATGGCTCCACAAATTCATAAATAAAAATAAAAATAATAATGCATATTTGCATGAATATGATTAGACAATAATACCGACGATCTGTCACGTGTTTAGGACACCCCAAACGGTACATTTAAAATGATTTGCAATAATAAATAAATTTACAATAAAAACTTCATACAATTAAATTCATTATACTATAAATTAAATTGAAATGCGAACCAAGCTTAACTAGTTGCAAAAAAATAAATAAATATTCACTGCACTTATCAACTTATAAGTAGCTTGTGTTCATCATTTAGATGGACATTACTAAAAGAATTAAAAAATAAAAATAGAGAGAAAAAAGTATTACAATATCTTTTTAGTATTAAAAAAAATTCGTCAAAAACCAAAATAACATTTTTTTTTTAAGAATTTGTCTTACGCAAATCGACTTCTCCAAAACTCCAATGCCCAACATGGATACATTCATATAAATAAGGAACTCTAGCCCACAACTAAAAAAAAAAAAATCGAGTTTTGAGAAGCTCTGGCCTACAACAAATTGTTTTAATTGACAATTATCCTTAGATTTAGCCCACAATAAATTGATTTCATTGACAACAATTCTATAATGAGAGGTTGGTTTTTATAGCTATATTGATCTTAATTATATTTATTACATAGTGTATATACTAACACAAAACACTCATGCATCTCTCATCTCATTTATTTAAATTAATTATTAATTATAAAAATAGTCATCTCTCAATTCCTTTCACATGCTTTCCATTGGTAAGAGATTAAATGACGTAGCATCCACAGACTCTCTCTACCTTCCTTTATCGTACGTTTTCTTTGTATATTTGAGTTTTTAATTTGTTATTGTTGTATGGGGATGGTTTGAAATTTTAGCACATATTTTAATGTTATAATAATTTATTTAATTTCATATAATGATAAGAATATAATAGAAAATAATTGAGGACTTAAGTATAATGTTGTGTAGTTAATAAAATTTTTATTGAGAATATAATTACCCTATTATTTGGTATTCCGTTTTATCTAAATTTAGGTATCATGGAGATTCATTTGTAATTACCAATTAAAACAACTTTTAATAAGGGTAAACATAATATAAAATAAAATTTTATCAAATTATATATTAACATTCTGTATGCATTAATTTTATTATATTAAATATATTATTTAATTGTTAGAATATGTGTGAAACAAGTAAATGAAACAATCATTTAAATAAGTGAATATGTATGTTATTTTTTTAAATTCACTAATTCAATGGAGGGAAAAATTGAAGTTATATTTTTATAATAAAAGTTGTTAATGAAAATTAATATAATATTTAAAAAATTAATTTAGTGAATTATTGATAAATAGAAAAGAAAATGATTTTTTTTTTAAATTTCATGTTGAATAAATTGAATTAATGTTATTAATTATTTATTAACAAAACTAAAATTAAATAAGGTTATATTAGGTACATATCTAAATATGTAAGGATAAATTGAGTATTCAAAAGTTTCTTCTCAATCTCCCTTCCCTTTAAATAATATATTGTAGATAGATTAACTCCCTAGGAAACAGAAAGCAGTTGAAATACAATAATTTTTTTTCCCTCACCATTTCATGTTAAAATCAAGCTACATGTATAGGGATTTTTGTTTGCTGGCACCATTTCATTGGATGTTGGACAAAAAAACAATTTCAAACCAACTAATCCAATGTTGCCACCTCACCATCAATAAAAATTCGTGTACATTTCATTTCTACAAGGAGTTTAATTCTTCATGTTAAGGGGAATTTATTTAAATAAATCTTCTCTTTAAGATTTACAAGCACCGGAAGAATACATTCTAAATGTTTCAAAAGTTTAGAACTTCTCCCCCTTTTTTTCCCCCTTCTATGACAGCAACACATTGTACAAGATGTACAGAAACAACTTAGAACAGCAATCACTGCATACCCTAAGATAACTGTGGCTAATTTTCACGACACAAGCACGTGGACTTTATGCTGCAACCAGCCTCTGAATATCCTTCTGAAACAGGATAACATTTCAAAATTACTCGAGCAGATATTATGGAATTTAGTGAATGCTTTGAGGAGAGAAGAAAACAATGAAATGAAGAAAGGTGAAGCAGAGAAAGTAAAAACCGAAAATTCGGTATAAAATTATATATATCCTCATCATTAGCTATTTGAACCTTGAGTCCTCAAAAACCTTTTTGAATCAGCCTGGGTTGGTCGCTCAATGAGAAAGCACCCAAGAAGATTCCAGTTTCTCCTTGGACCATCCACAAAGATAAATCACTTATTATCAGTAAGGCCATGTAGTGTATGGCAAATCTTAAATTATAATTTTAAACTAATCAGAAATTATAATTTTAAACTAATCAGACATACTTTTTATCTTAAAAATTCATAAAAACTATTCACTTATTATTCACACATTCAGTAGAATCCATAACTTATAATCACTCCAAGTCACGCTCTTAGTCTTTTGATTAGTCATTAGAGTAGGGATCACGAGAGAGCATATCGTAAGCTTCTATGTATTACCCATCACACTTTCACAAGGAATGTACTCCTACATATACATTTTTGATATGTTTGCCAATTCTAATTCAACAGTTCTATAGTGAAGAAGTTGGGACCTATGAGGAAAGCTTACATTTAAGTTTCAACACTTGTCTATTTTCCCAGTTACATTTCAAGCATATATAAATAAGCACGGCAAAGGAAAGATGAAACTGTGAAAACCTCTAAAATGGCCTATTTAGTAAAATTACTCGACAAGGATTTAAAGTTTAGGTCACAGCATTTTTGAGTGCGTCTTCATCAAGAAAAATCACCAACGATCCTCGAAAAGGAAAAAAAATGAAAGAGAGGAAAAGTTTAAAGAGTGGGTGCTTTTGATAAAAAAAGGGGATATAAATTTGGCCGTACAAGAAAAATGATTTACCTCTATTTGAAAAGGTGATGTTGTTGGTGGGTATCTCTCGACCACTTTACCATTTTTGTCCACTAGGAATTTCTCAAAATTCCATTTAATCAAATCACCTAAAATTCCTCCAGCACTTGACTTCAGGAACTGATAAACTGGTGTTGTACTGGGTCCATTCACATCAACCTGTTTTGGCTTAAACATTAGTCATCAGTTCATAACAATTTGTTAAAGGGGGAACAAGGAGAACAAAAAACCTTGTCGAAGATTGGGAATTCCGCTTTAAACCTTGTGCATGCAAACTGCTTAATTTCTGGATTTGATCCTGGCTCTTGGCCACCAAACTGATTACAGGGAAAAGCTAGAATTTCCAATCCTGCAAAATGGTAGCATAAGGAGATGAAGAACATTGAAGTCAGTCCTAACATTTAATCAAATATGTGCATATTTCTGCCAATCAAAAATGCGGGAGAGAATTAAGGGGGAAAAAAAAGAAAAAAAAAGGTGACAAATATTATACCAATGTAAATATACTTGTACACTTCTTCTTGTTTCCATAAACATTATAGTGTTCCTTTTAATATTCACCATTGGTCCTCATAATTGAACATATTCAAATTTACAGGTCTTACAAGAAGAACGTAAAAACCGAAAGTCTTAACAAATCACCCTTGCTTATGTATAGTTCTCGAAAAATATTCATGGGCATTAAAAAAAAAAAACTAAACACCCTCCAAACTTCTGGTATATTGTGAGCACATTTTCTTTTTCTTGCTACGCCAGTCCATGCAGAAAACAGGAACAGAAAAGAAAAATTATTTAGCACAAACAAAGAATTAAAAAATCGTGCTACAAAAAGAGGGGAACTATACCAATCCCCAATCCATAGGATTGGAACTTAATTCATTTCCAAGTTATCAAGAATAAATGTTTAGTTAGAATGCGAAGAAAATGGTATATTTGACTGATGGTGGAGTGTTTAGAGTGACAATTTTTCTCTGCACATGGTTAATTAATACTCCAAACTCTCTCAGCAGCCTGCAGTATAATATGCAATAACAACTATAAAAGTATGTTAATGAGATCTGAATTTCAGTCAATCTCACCTTGAGTTTTGTACTTCTCGTAAAGATGAGAAAGTTCTGTGTAGTTTGATGATGTTAAACCGCTGAATCAAAAATAAAACGATTATGTCAACCACCCAGCATTTTATGACATAAAATGTACTCTTAGAAACAAGATCCAGATTCTACAAGCATATATATTTATAACATGTTGACACTCGCCGCTACTCAAATCATATACTCAAGTGGCATATAAATAGAAGTCTAAAGTGGGTCGTTTTAGGCAGTTACGGCAGAGAGTATACCATTTTGAAGCAACATTCACAATTAGGAGAACCTTTCCTTTAAATTTGCTGAGAGAGACGTCCTTGCCATCAATATCCTGTTTTCAAGAATAACCATATGTTAGCGCTATCCACATCAAAGGGAAAGCACTACATCATAGGGAGAAAAATCAATCCAAAATCTAAGATCTGTTACATTGTCAATGTGCTAACTACATCATAAGCATTCACAGAAGTATCGTCAACACAAAACCTGATTCAACCAAAATCAATAACGAAAAAAACTAGATACTGATATCGGCAACCGATGTATTCAATAATTATCAATTTTCTTTGATTTAACAACCATTTTTTTGAAGTCAGAAGGAAGTTCATACTACAAAGCACAGTTCTTGAGATTTCCCAAGTTCTGCCTTGTGCTGAAATGATTAGATGCATAATTTTGATCATCTGACAGGTAAAAAAAAAAGCTTATACTTTTTTGCAATTTATTCAACTAAACTCATAAAAGGAAAATAGCACATGGGCAAAATGTGTTAATAAACAATCAACAAATGGACAACTAAATTAAGCAAAACGCATCAAACAAAAATCATAATCAAAACCCATAAGAAAAATTCAAAATAAACATAATTGAATATCCACGCACACATACATAAACTGAGTATGAAAAGTGTGCGTGATTTTTTTTTTTTTGACCTTTACAGTGAAGTCATGAATAGACTTCTCAGCGGCAGCTCTGGCATATACCATAGGAAAGTACCGAGATTTCGAGACCAAACCAGAGATATTTGAGGATTGAATTGAGAACCCATGTTGGAAAAATGTGGACTTGGAGGACCCAAATTTGGATGAAGCTTTTAGAAAAGGTACAAAAGAAGAATCTGAGCTTGACTGCAGTTTGGTTTGTGTAAACATATGCAAAGGTGCTGAGTAAACTGACGAAAAAGCCATGGAAGCCATTTTTGAAAACTGTGTAAATGGGTTTTAAGAATTTGGGTTTACAGGGACGAAGAAACCTTAGGACGGGAAGAGTGGAAGGTAATGAAACACGTGGTTTCATAACCCCCCCACCTATTTCCTGTTCAATTTTTATTGCGCCTCGACATTTCTAGTTCCATTTTTGGGTGGACGAAAATGAGGAAGAACTATTTTGGGTAATTATATTCCCAGAATTTTATTAATTACACTGCAATTTTAAGCATTTATTTATTTATTTAAATAGTTTTAAATAAAATTACATAAATGGAGTTCTAATACGTTTATCGCATAAAACAATTTATTGTTACACCACAATCATAAACCTTGTTTTTTCTTTTTTTTCCCTCAACAACTGTACATAACTTTTCCATCGACCGCTTTTGTGTTCATTAGAAATTGAATAATTCCTTTGTGAATAGAGTATCCCTTAAAAACTATGTATTTAATCTAGTTCTTATTAATACCAACTTCAACCGAATAGTCAACTTATGATTGATTGATTTTTATATTAATTATTATCTAAACTAATATAACGAACAAAAACATTTGTAAGTTCCCTTAAAAGTACGCACAAAGATTTCGAATCGTCTTTTATTAATCCGTTTTAACAAAACTCAAAATCATAACAACACTTTTGAATCTTGCCGATAATATATTCCTATTTTGTTCAATGATCTCTCGAGTAGAATTAAATATATCTTTACATGCAACATTTATATATCTCTATAAAAATATGTGAACATGAAATAATACATTGGACGCAAGAACGTCTAATTTAAATGATGTAAGGTAGATTTATATATTTTTATCCCCTACTGAATCCTACAACAATTGTTATAAGTAATATATTCATTAGTCATTCTATCAAACGAAATAGCAATCACAAACAATTTAATCAGTAACTAATAAATTGAAAACATCCCATTTAAATCATGTAAGACATATTTATATATTTCTATCCCTATCAAATCCTAAAACAATTGTCATAAGTTCTATATTCATTTTTATCAAATATACAAATGCATCAAACGCCAAATTCTTGAAATTTATATTATAACTTCATAACAATGGTTCATCTACTTTCTAGTGACTAAAAAATTAACCGAGCATACTGAGTTATAAGAATTCATGTTGATTTATGAAGCATAACACGGATTTTACATGTACGGAGAAAAAGAGAAAAACCCATGAATTCATGAATCTCTTCAAGTCTCCTTGAACAATCTATTGTTGCACATTCTTCCTCTTTGTCCAAAATTCAAGAAATAATTTTCATTTTTCAAATTCGATAGATGGATTTCTTGTTTCTTGCCTCTTGTTTTCTCTCTAAAACTTGGTTATTTGGCTCACCTTTGCAAGAAATTATGTATTGTGTATCATGCAAGCTCTTTTCAATTGTTGGATGAAGGTATATATTTATTTATAGGGTGAGAAATTAGGTCAAAATTCGTGTCCTAAGTGATTTACAAAAAATGGTTGATTCACATAAGGAAGCAAATTGTGTTGTTGGAAAATATCACCATGCAATCGCATCATTGTTTTGGCTGTGATTGGACAGTTATCTTTTTTTACATTATGTTGTCCTCACAAGGCTTTGCTATGAACACTAATCTCCCACCTCAAATTTTTGAAAAAGTTCATTTTCATCCTTGGATTTCTTCCTTCGTCCGGGTTGAGTCCCACCTTTGTCCACTTTTAATCATTCATCTTCTAATTTCATCCAATTTGATCCTTGTAATCTTCAATCATTCATTTTTTATCCGAACCAACTTTTGGTCATTTACAATTTAATTCCCAAACTTTACACTTCTTTACATTTTAGTCATTGTTTGGACTCTTTTCACTTCTTTTCGTCAATAGCCGATCAAACTCTAGTTTATCCTATAACAATCAATATTTAACCAAATTAGGTAGTAATTCTATCGACTGACTGCCAAATATTCACTTTTCAATCTATAAATTAATCTTGTGACTATAAATTCTATTAATTAAAAGATTTTTCAATTAATCGACAAACTAATAATTTATTAATTTATAGAGAGTGTGTGCAATTCAACGAACCTACATTTAATGAACTAGAAATTCATAATATTTTACCTATATAACCAATTGAATATGAAATAATTCCCTATATATATGCTAAATTAACCAAAAAAAAAAAAAACCAAATTAATTGTACTTGATTAAATAATATTCATTGTAATTGCATTAATTTAATTAAATAAATTCGACTAAATAGATCAAAAATAATCTTTATATAAACAAACACAAAGTCTTCTTATACTTTATAGTTACAATGGCTTCTCATCTAAAAGGTGTTCAAAAATCAATCATCACATATGAGATGCAAAAAACATTAGGCAAGTACAATATAGGGCATACCACATGTACTAAAAAGGAATTGAAACAATCGATTCCCATTCAGTTTCACTTAAAATTTAGTCATGGTACAATATCAAATTCACTCAAGCGATCACTATATCTTTTGTTTGAATTAGAAAAAGGTAGTCATTCTAAGCGAAACAAAACATTAAAATCTATAGACATGAAGAAGATTGTTTATGAAATATTTCTTCAATACCAAGATTGTATGAATTTAACAGGAGAGCTAATCTTGAAAAAGGCAAGAGAGACTGAGAAAATATTTGACCTTAAAGAGAATTCAAAGTTCAATTTTTCTCAAGATTGGCTCGAAAAGTTTGAGCTAAGATATGGTATCAAGCCATTTCGTTGTTTTGGAGAAAGTGGATTAGTTGATACACAAGATGTGTAGAAAAATAGGAGTACATAAAGGAAAAAATAGACGAGTTCAACATGAAAGATGTTTTCAATAGGTCACAACTTGATCGCTCTCTTACAACAAAGCAATTTGAAGGGGAAAAAAAGGCAGAGACAAAGAGATGCTTACAATTGTTGTTTGCTGTAATGAGGATGACCCATAGGATCAAAACCGGACAAGGACTAAATACAAAACGAGACAAAGAAATGCTTGCAATTGTTGTTTATTGTAGTGAGGATGACTCATAGGATCAGAACCAGACAAGGACTAAACACATCGAAAATAAAATTCAATCTTGAATAACTATAAGTGAAGTAGCGTCAGCATGGAAATGGACAGAAAACCAAATGACAACCAGAACAGAATGACATCAACCTGGGATATCCCACGTTGGGTATGAACTAAGAATCAAGGAAGAAACATGGCCATTAGATATATACTCATACGCCATGCCTCTTAAATATGTTTGAACAGCGAGGCGAATAGTATTTAACTGATTGTTTGAACTCTTGTTGGTTTTGTTACTTTATAATAGATATAAATCTTTTGTTCTTTATATTTGTTTGTTGTTCTACTTTTTAGTGTTAAGTTAGCAATACAATGCATAATGCAGGGTTGGATTTTGCGTTTACGTTGATCTCCGATGGCCCAATTTTCGGAGTTCACCTCGGGCCCCGAAGATCACAGGACCGGCGCTGATTGTGTATCATGCAAGCTCTTCTCAATTGTTGGATGAAAGTATATATTTATTTATAGAGTGAGAAATTATGTATTGTTGGAAAATATCACCATGCAATCGCATCATTGTATTGGCTGTGATTGGACGGTTATCTTTTTTTACATTATGTTGTCCTCACAAGGCTTTGCTATGAACACTAATCTCCCACCTCAAATTTTTGAAAAAGTTCATTTTCATCCTTCGATTTCTTCCTTCGTCCGGGTTGAGTCCCACCTTTGTCCACTTTTAATCATTCATCTTCTAATTTCATCCAATTTGATCCTTGTAATCTTCAATCATTCATTTTTTATCCGAATCAACTTTTGGTCATTTACAATTTAATTCCCAAACTTTACACTTCTTTACATTTTAGTC